ATATATTTATATATGTGTATATATGAAAAATATATCAAAATTTAATAAGTTATTAAATTTAAAAAAAATTTCATTTCTTCACTTCTAAATTTTTTTTTGCCATTATTTATTTATTATAAATTTTTTAAATTATTATATATTTGATAAATTAATTTTCATCAATTAAGAAATGACCTTGTATCTTGTGAACTATTGACATTTTTAAAGATATAAGCTCATCACGATGTTACACTCATCGAGACCTTTCATTTGAATACCCACATCAATTTTTCATATATTTTTCATATTTATATATATTATATATATGTATATATGAAAAATATATCAAAAATGAATATGGGTACTCAAATGAAAGCTCTTGATGAGTGTAACATCGGAATGTGCTTATATCTTTAAAATATATATTATATATATGTATATATGAAAAATAAATGAAAAATGCATGTGAGTACTCAAATGATAGCTCTTGATGAGTGTAACATCGGGATGAGCTTATATTTTTAAAATATATATTCTATGTGTGAATACATGAAAAATGTATCAAAATTTTCACAATTTTATTATAATTTATTATTATTTTAAAAGTCACGACTATTACATTATAAATTTTGAAAAGGCACGACTCCAAACAAAAACTCATTTTATCATATAAATAAACTGGCGACAGAATATTTCCTATTGCTAGTAGCCTAGAATCGACGGGTATTTAACAAAAACTGCTTGGTCGTTACACTCAGCTGGGTGTCAGCTCAATATTTCCGGACTCAGTCATTGAAATGTACGGGCCAAGTCTGGACTTGCGTAGGGCTGTCTCCATTTTGATCGTCGGGTTGCCTGTCAGTAATCCTATTCCACCTCGACAAGCCTTGTCAGCCCAAGCCTCGGTTAATGTACAATCTGGGTACCATTTTCCAAACCAGTTTTTGAAGAGATATCCAGAAGAGTGGCCAATTGTTGATATCTATTAATTAATCAATGATTTATAAATTTATTATGTAACGAAAAAGGATCATGAAAACTTAATAGATAAATACTTACATCATTATTATCGATGTATGATTCAGTTAAAACGTGGCAGTCCATTTGGATCAGCTTCCTTGTTGTTCTGCTGACCAAAATCACGATGATCATATTTTTCTTGAAAATCATTGGGAGGAATATGAGCGGGAAAATGAGAACATAGGACAGGTTGTTTAACTGAACTGCTACCTTCAAGATTTCCTCCAGATCCACTAGTAGGTCTAGGAACGCCATGAATATTTTGAGTACTAGGATTTTGAATTTGATAGTTAGGATTATTATTTTTATAATAATAATAATAATAAGGTATATTGTAGAAAATCGGATTGTTATTAAGAGTTGGGATGTAAGCATTCGGTTGATTATTGGAATACATATTTTTTAAAGTATTCGAACTATCATAAGCTTGTGCAGTGGTGTGAGAATTTTTATAATTATTGTTGTTGATAACAGGATTATTTTTAGGGTTTGGGTTACTGTGGTAAGCTGGCATATAATAATAATCATTATAATTAGGATTATTATCATCATTATTATTAGGACTCAAATTATCCGGTGCGGACAAGTCATTGTAATACGAACTTGATGATAGGAATGGGATCGGGTTTTGCTGCTTATACTGAGAACACTGAAGACACGTCAGCAAACTTCTAGTATTTACATCAAGAGGTTGAATTCGCCAGATCACATTCTGGATGTTAGCTAAAGCGATTTCGGCTACTTTCAAATTAGAGTTGATAAAATTTATCATGTAAAGACATTCTTCACGAAGTTGGAAGCAATCAGTTACAGCATTTCCTCTGAAAACTTGACGTTTCCCAATTCTTTTTCCTTTGACAATGCTTTGCTTCTGTTGGGTTGAGCCTCTGCTTGCGTCCCGCTTAAATCGACCGATTGAATGAGAATTAATGCCAATGTTTCGATCAGTATCGTACGAATCCAAGTCGTCATTTTTATAATCGAATGTGGAGATCGGGTGTTGAAAATACAGCCGGGTTTTTTCCTGTGGCTCTTTCAGAATATCGCTAGCTTTTTTAGGTTCGTTTAAATCACCCTGATTTCTTCTTACACCTACAAGATTTGTGAATAAATTGAAGGAATTTTTTTAATTATTTTTTTTTAGTTATTGTTTAAAAATCAGGATCAAATTACTTTTGGCCATTAAATCATGATGGAATTTTTTTAAGTTTATTAAAAAATTGAATAAATTGAAAAAAAAAAATTAGAAAAACGGTTCACCCTACAGGCCATCCCTGCAACTTCCCGCTCATTTTGTACTTAAACGCTTCAAACTACACATTACGTTTTTGAGCTCGTCGAGCTCAAAAATATTATTTTTATGTCAATTTGAGCTCTTCGAGCTCAAAACTCTAATAGCAGTTTAAAGACACAATATTTTGAATTTTTAAACGGCAATAACTTTTGAATGAATGAACCGATTTTCACGCGGTTGGCGGCAATCGACGCAGTTTTTGAAGCTCCATGAAAAATTTTCAAGTTTAAATCGATCGAGCCATGAATTTCGAAGTTATTACAAAAAAACACTTTTTTCGATTTTTTTCGACAACGATATCTCACGAACGCATCAACCGATTCTGACGTTTTTGGTGGCGATCGATAGGGGTTTTTAAGGTTAAGAGCTGATTAGATTTTGAGACCGATCGGTTCAGCCAATTCGGAGATATTTAAAAAAAATAAAAAAAAAACAACTCTCAGGAAATTTAAGTTTGGTGAAGCCCTTTCGAATGACACCAACCGCGATGAAATCGGTCAAGTCGTTCAAAAGTTACAAGAGGTTTACATACATACACACACACACACACACACACACACACTTGGGGCAGAAGAGATACTGCTACACGGCGCGTCTCCCCGAGCGGATGGGAGAACGCTCGCTGTCCTTGGATGACACTTGGATAATCTCTTAGTTGATGAGGTACAGAGGGTAGGAGTTGAATAAAATACGCTCCCGTGGACAAAACTCCCCTTTAATGGGTTGGTCACACTAACTGACCTAACAAGACGATCGGTCCCTGCTGTAACTCACTGGGAGTGTCCGGAACCTGTATCGTAGTTTCCGACGATGCAGGCCACGGCTGATGTGAGCTTGCTCTGCCGAGGTGTAAGTTGCAGTAGTGGATCAAGAGCCAGCCACTTCGGGCCTTGATCAGGAAGTACGCATTGAGTGTTAGAGATCGGAATCTTCACCGCCCCGAGCGAGTCTAGTCCCTCCGTGTATTCCGGGACTGCCTAAGTGTCGGCTAGACCTCAGGGAACTGGGGTAGGAGTACTATCTCCGAGGGTACACCCGTTCCTAGTTATGACAACCTGCTCCACTCCGTACGATGCGCTGGTAAACCAAAAAAGTATGAGTAATTTACAGGAAACAAACAAGAGTAGAAACGGGCTTCATGCCCAACAAGCAGCGATTGACGCAAGCGCTGAAATGAAGCGGTCACAAGCGCTCGAACGCCTCAAAAAGCTGACCAGTGAGTTGAATGACCGTCCAATCGAAGGTCAATATCCACAAGGAGATAAAGTCCAAGACGACTAGTGTAGCTAACGCCCTTCAAAGGTTTGAGAAACTGGACGAAGATTGGTGCTCATCATTGCTGCGCACTTCCCGTGCTACACAGGAGAAAACCTGTCAAGTTGACGTCATGACTGACGAAGCAATGGACACCGAAGCCGAAGGTGACAGTGAATCAATCGCCGAAGAGAAGGGTGAAACTAACACAAGGCCTGGAAAGAGAAAGGAGCGAAACTCACCAGAGCCAACCGACAAAGTAACAAAGAAGAAGGACTTGAAAAAAAGCCCTCCCCAACGACTGGTAGAGCAGGGCGACGAACCTAAGAAGACGACGACTGACTGGGAAAAAGTACAGTCTAAGAAGGAGAAGAGAAGGCTAGCTAGAGAGCAACTCTCAAAGCAGTCGCCGAAGGAGCCCAGACCAGAGCCTAAGCGGAAAAAACCACGAAAGTGGATTAGGCCTGGCGCTCTGATCATCCGTCCGGTAGAGAAGGAGAAGTACGCTGAAATACTGCGTCGTATAAAGCAGGCCGTTCCCGACGAACAGGTCCGCACAACCGTGGAAAAGATCCACAAAACCAAAACCGGGAACATGCTGATTACGCTCTCAAAGAAGAGTATTGACAAAGGTCAAGCCTTGCAAAAGGCCATCACAGACGTTCTTCAAAAAGAAGCTGAAGTAATTTGCAAAGGACTGCAGGAGATGATCGAAATCCGAGACATTGATGAGGACACGACGAAGGAGCACATTCAGACTGCCCTGAAAACGGAAACCGGAGAAACTTGCGAAATACCGCTAGAGGCTATCAAGATCCGTAAGGCCTACAGAGGTGCGCAAACGGCTACAGTGACATTACCAGCAGCTGCAGCACAACAGCTACTGGAAAGAAACGGCAAAATAAGGATTGGCTGGGTCAACTGCCGAATGAGAGCAACAAAGAAGCCGATACAATGCTTCAAATGCTGGCACTTTGGGCACTTTGGATCTCAGTGCAAAGGTGAAATCGACCGATCTAAGCTCTACATAAGATGCGGAAGAGAAGGACACAAGATTGCTGAGTGTAAAAATCCAGCCAAATGTGTATTATGCACTGACGATCAAAGTGCGCAGGACGCTGCCCACCATGCTGGCACATACAGATGCCCGTTCTTCAAAGAGGCGCTCGAGAAAATGATAAATAAACGAGCATGAAGATACTGCAGCTCAACCTCAATCATTGTGAGGCTGCGACATTACATTTAGACGGATTAACTTATGGATGGATACGGTGAACTTGCAACTAGCTAAGCATAAAACCGAAGCAGTGCTCATTACCAGCAGGAAAGCGATAGAAACCATCAAGTTACAAGTTGGAGAACATGAGATCACATCACAACCGTACATTCGGTACCTGGGAGTGATGCTTGATGCCCGACTCAATTTCAAGCAACAAGTCGAACATGTGACTACCAAAGCATCAGTAGTTAGAGCGAGCCTAGCACGACTGATGCCCAACCTTGGTGGACCAAAGCAGAGCAGAAGACTACTGCTGTCATCAGTAGTAACATCTGTGCTCACATATGGTATATCCATTTGGGCTGACGCATTAGGAACGCAAGAATCTTGGAGAAAAGCGGGTCCAATTTACAGACAGAGCGCTTTGAGAGTTGCCAGTGCTTTCCGCACAATATCAGAAGAAGCAGTGTGCGTCATTGCTGGAACCCTGCCGCTTAGAGTACTAGCAGAGGAAAGACGGGCCCTTTACCAACGAAAAAGGTCAACTACACTGAGCCCTGAAGAACTTAGAACAGAAGAATGGCAACACAGCATCTCGCGATGGCAACTTGAGTGGGACGCCGCAGCAAAAGGAAGATGGACATACCGCCTCATACGAAAGATCGATGTTTGGCTGAACCGAAATCATGGCGAAGTCAACTATTATCTAACGCAGATGTTGTCTGGACATGGGTGCTTTCGAGAATACCTGCACCGCTTTAAGCATGACGATTCTCCGGAGTGCCCGTCTTGTCCAGGAGTTATTGAGGACGCAGAGCACGTTTTCTTTGCGTATCCACGTTTTGATCCTCAGCGAAATGAGTTAGAAAGGATCCTGAACCGGAGAATCCAACCAGAGACAATAGTAGAGACAATGTTGTCGAGTCAAACTGCTTGGAACGCTACAAGCACTTTTGCCACAGAAGTCCTTACAGAGCTACGTTCCATTGACAGAAAAAGAGCGAATGACAGAAACTAGAAGGAAGAAATAACATCTTAGCCACCAGAAGGAAGAACGGCAGCTAATTCCTCCCCCCGCGAAAAAATGCCTTACGGCGGTACCATGGGGGATCATAGGATAAAAGAGAAAGGGGTTTAGGGTTTAGTGGGTAGGGGCGTCAGCGTCGAGTTTTAGTGTGACGCTGCGTCGAGTCGCCACATATCCAGGCCAACAACTATGCCTAGAATCCGTAAAAAGGATTCCCCCCTCCCCCCCCAAAAAAAAAACAACACACACACACACACACATACATACAGACGTACGGACATCATCGTAAAAATAGTCAGGGAAGCTTCCTGTGACCTTCAAACGTCGAGATCTGATGAAAACTCGATTTTTGTAATTTTGAAAATCTGAGATTTTCAGCGGGAAGTTAAAAATTTAATCTTATTCTTTCGACTTAAAAAAAAAAAAAAAAGGTAAAAATCACTAAAATTAATAAACTTGAAATTTAAAAAAATTTTTCTCTAATTTTGGGTTTTTACACTGATAGAAGGATTTGTTTGTATTTAATAAATCAATTTATTAAAATCTTTTTCAGATATTTTTTTGGTTGGAAAAAATATTTTTTTACTATTAAGAAGCTTTAATGTATTGAAAAAAGTATTTATTTCCACAAAATAAGATTTGTTAATAGTTAACAAATATTTTGTTGGTGGTCAGTGTTGGTAGATGGCTGTACTTAACGCGTAGTTGTAAATATTTTATTTACTCTAGCGAAAAAATTGCAACTTGATTTATGTGAAAAATTTATCAAAGCAGAAGGATTTAAACATGTTGTAAAATTTGGTCAAGTTGTAAAATATAATAATCTTGAAAAGTTGTCAATTAATTTAAAAAATTTTTATCAATAATCGATTATTTTACAGTAGTTACTTTGATTTTTTTTAAATGTATGGTTGCAATAAAAAATTAATATTAAACTTCTCTAATACTTCTCTTGTAAACTTCTAATTGTAATTTCTCTTTTTATTATTTGTATCCTTTAATTTCATTTTTCATTAACTTCATTAAATATCTAATTCTCTGTAATTTTTACAATTAAAATAAAACATTGAAACACGTTTTTGAGGAATTTTTTAAATATTAAAAATCCAATGTGTAATTATTAATAAATGATTTATTAAATATTAATAAATCATTTTATAGATGTTAATAAATCGTTTATTAAATAGTAATAAATATTTGGTTAGCACAAAAAAATAGCTGCTAATAAATAATTTATTAACTGTTAATAAATATTTGTTAAGGACCTATCCTCTAGTAAATCATTTATTAAATATTAAAAAATCTTTTTAAATACAAAAAAATCCTTCTATCAGTGTACATATAAAATAAGAAAAAAAAAATACCAAAAATTGCTACACTTATTTGGATGAATTATATTGATGTATTTCTGTAAGTATTTAATTTTTTTCAACATTCAAAGGTCCAAAACGATTCGATCGCTTATAACTGAAACACCCACTTCTAAACAATTATCATTTAATTTATTATTTTCTTACCTTCATAAGAATCATATCGTGAGTAACCAAATAGTAGAAAACATAATAATATTAATACTATAAAGAGAATTGAAGACAAAGATATTTTCCAGATTTTTAAGTTTATCTTTGACCCTTCCATCGTGTCCTTTTCTTCTCTTATGGATTATTTTTTCACTAATTACACTTAATTAACGTTAAAATTTTAAACTTTAGAAATTTTATCGATTAACTTTTAACTTTTTCACTTTTTGTTTATAAAAATTCTTACTCGAGTTTTTATAGAAATATTTTATTAAATTAACTATTTATTTATACAAAAATTAATGAAATTTATAAATAAACTCAAGACTAACGTTCACATTAATGCAATTTTCTATTAATAACTTATTTTGTTAAACGGTAAGAAAAAAAAAGTCTGTCTTAAAAGCTGCTATCACGATTGAGTCTCGAGTAATAATGATAGAAATATTAGCGATTTTTCTTGCCCAGGCATAAGTTAAAAACAGAGTGTCAGCAAATTACGGACGAGTTGGATAAAAATTATTTTTACCTTTTGATATATTACACTTATGTTTGCAGGTCAATGATATCCGCCGACACGTACATATTTTAATAACGGATAAAAACGGAAAAATACTCGAATTTCACATTCATTGCTCATTCAAGCTGATTCGTCTACTTTTATGAATCATATTTTATTTTACGTTTATTTAAAATTAAGAATTAAAATTTAAAATGTGTTTCATACATGTGGTAAATAAAGGAATTTTTTTCAAGTATCGTCAAATTAAGTTACACAACATTTTCAATTTATTATTCTATATTTCCATAAAAGTAAAGAAAATAAAAATCTTTCTCATTTAAAGAATAACTTTTTAAATAAATAACGAAAGTTTAACTCAAAAAAATGTTAAATTAGCTTTAGTGTCATTAAATTTTTGATATTGCGTGTTCCAGTCATTCGGTTTGATTAGTTAAAAATAATTTATATTACAAAAATCAGATCTCAATAAATTAATCACAAATCAACAAAAAAGTATAAGCCTGAATGGAATTTTTTTATGATATTATTTTGCATATAAAACATGCAAGCAAAACTATAAAAATTGTCGATTAATACTTAATTCAAACCCGAGAGTCAAATAATGAATTATGCTTAAATCGAATATTTTTCTACCAAGTCAACAACCTCAACTTTGAATCAATTCATTAAATATAATATTCTAAATTGTATTTAAGTATTCGCTATCATTACAATTTTTATATCACTATTGAAAATTTACTAAATTGTTATTTATTTTTTAGATTGTTCAATTTTCTACAGTTTTAATGTAATTTATAAACTTTTTTTAGTTCAGTTACGTAAATATAATTTGATCCACTTAAAACTTTAAAAGATTAAAAATTTTTTTTAATTGTAAGACATATTTTTTTTTATTATCAGTATCTATAATTTCGAATTTCCTGAATTTGATGAACATAAAAAAATAAATGAATAAAGTAATATATATGCTATTTAAACATTATTTTATATTAAATTGATAATTTTTAATATAATCTATCACCAGAAATGTATCGATATATTTGTTTCAAGATAAAAAAAAATCTATTGATGCAAAAATTAATATTCATAACGTGAGTACATTAGTATCAAGCTAAAATTAATGAAATACCTAAACTCAAATCGCAGAAAAGCAAATAATAGTTGGGTCGCTTCGTAGAAATATCATAAAAAAAATAATTTTCTCTGTATTAAAAAGATTTTTATTAAATAGTTAAATATTTTTATAATAATTTAGTACAATAATCGATAAGAATACATCACGAGATGAACTAAAAATTAAGCACAACATAGAAAATATAATTTTTTTTTAATTTAATAATTTTATTTAATCAATTGCTAGGCGTGAGTTCGAATCCCAAGCTGGTCTTAGAAACCAGCTTGGTTGAGATTTGACCTTGCCGCGTAAGTTAAGATTTTTTCAAACCAAAAAGACCCCAGCATACCACTCCCAACACTTAAAGTCGGCGATTTGACTAATTAACGAAAAATAAAAAAAATTATGAGCGACCTTTCAAAATTTAAATTTTGAGCTGAAACTTTCAGAAATTTATTTTTTTTTGTCTATAAAATTATACCGTAACGAGAAAAAAAATTAAAAAAAAAAAAATTCGATTTTTGACGATTTTTGAAATTTTTAAAAATTTTGAGTGACCTCTTAAAAATTTTTTTTTGAGCTGTCCTTTGGTGAGGGCTCATAAAACATCAAAAACTAACATTTTTTCACTCGAGACTAAAAAAAAAAAAATAGTCGGTTTTTCTGCGCCACCCTAATGTATATAATATTATTTTGCATGTACAAAACTATAAAAATTGTCGATTAATACTTAATTCAAACCCGAGAGTCAAATAATGCATTATGCTTAAATCGAATATTTTTCTACCGAGTCAACAACCTCAACTTTGAATCAATTCATTAAATATAATATTTTAAATTGTATTTAAGTATTCGCTATCGTTAAAATTTTTATATCACTATTGAAAATGTGCTAAATTGAAATTTATTTTTTAGATTGTTCAATTTTCTACAGTTTCAATGTAATTTATAAACTGTTTTTAGTACCAGTTACGTAAATATAATTTGATCCACTTAAAACTTTAAAAGATTAAAAATTTTTTTTTAATGTAAGATATATTTTTTTTTATTATCAGTATCTGTAGATAGATAAAATACAAAAAAAAAATTATCCAAGCACAAGCATGAGAGTGTCAAAAAGTAAATACATGCAATTTCAAAAAAAAAAATTTCGAAAAAATGTTTTTTTGGCTTAAAACTTAATAAAAAAATAAGAATAAATCAGAGAAGATCAAAGAAGTATTTTTTTCTTGAAAGAACATTAAAAAAAAAAAATTTTGAAAAAAACGGGACCCCGATAGCTGTATTTTTTGCCAAGTTATAGCTCTTTCAAAAAAATAATTTGAATTTTGGAAAAAATCAATATCTCAGAAACGCGTGGTCAAAAAAATTTGAAAAAATTCATGAAGGTGTTCTTTGACGGTATTAAAAACATATAAAATTTTTAGAAAAATTGGAGGGGTTGACCTAAAAAAGTGGCCGATTTGGTATGGAATGCCCCATATATACATACATAAATAAACTTTTGAACCATATGTATTTTCTGACTCAGCTCGTCGAGTGAAGTCGGAATATAGCAAAATTTTTCAAAATTTCCGTCATGAGGACCAATGCAATAGTTAGATTTCTATGAAATCTACTAAAAACAGCTAAAAAGTTGTATACCAAAAACATATTCTGTTATATAGTTTAGAACTACGAGTTGTGCGTAGCGGATTGATAATGAAAAAACCCGCAACATTTTTGATCGACAATTTTGTTGCGGCTGTTTGCTTCGACGCGTTTTCAGTAATAGTCTATTCGAGAAGTGAGTTTTCCGCGAAAAATCGATGCGAGCCTCTTAAAAATATGGAGATTGGTGCATTGGATTCAAAATTTCAATCTGAGAAAGAGGAATTTTTTAATTTATCCGCCATTAAAAAATTGCATTTGTTATAAACAAAAAACGAAGATAAAAAAATTAGAAAAACGGTTCACCCTAAAGGCCATCCCTGCAACTTCCCGCTCATTTTGTACTTAAACGCTTCAAACTACACATTACGTTTTTGAGCTCTTCGAGCTCAAAACTCTAATAGCAGTTTAAAGACACAATTTTTTGAATTTTCAAACGGCAATAACTTTTGAATGAATGAACCGATTTTCACGCGGTTGGCGGCAATCGACGCAGTTTTTGAAGCTCCATGAGAAATTTCCAAGTTTAAATCGATCGAGCCATGAATTTCGAAGTTATTACAAAAAAACACTTTTTTCGATTTTTTTCGACAACGATATCTCACGAACGTATCAACCGATTCTAACGTTTTTGGTGGCGATCGATGGAGGTTTTCAAGGTTAAGAGCTGATTAGTTTTTGAGACCGATTGGTTCAGCCAATTCGGAGATATTCAAAAAAAATATTAAAAAAACAACTTTTTTTTTTCACTTTTTTTTCACTTTTTTTGCATTTTCTCGAAATCTACCGGTCCGAATCGGTTCAAATTTTCAGGAAATCTAAGTTTAGTGAAGCCCTTTCGAATGACACAAACCGCGATGAAATCGGTCAAGTCGTTCAAAAGTTCCAAGAGGTTTACACACACACACACACACACACACACACACACACACACACACACACACACACACACACACACACACACACACACACACACACACACACACACACA